TACTGCTGCTGCTGCTGCTCCTACTGCTGCTACTGCTACTACTGCTGCTGCTGCTGCTGCTGCAGCTGCTTCTACTACCGTTCTACTGCTATGGCGACCCCTACTGTTCTCACCTTTGACGGAGAGGGTCACCCGGTAGACTTTGAGTCCTGGTTAGAGGATCTCCACTGGTACCTGCAGAGCCAGTCTAGGGAGGATGTCTCGCTTTTTTAGCATGCCTCTGGGACCCTCGATGCCCCTGCTGCCACAGCTACTCGTGTAGACCAGTCCATGTGGACTTCTCGTGATGCTACTGCCGCTCTTGCTGCCCGTAGCCACCTTCTGCCAGACCAGCGCTCCAACTTTTGCCAGCTTAAGACGGCCAAGGCGCTTTACGACGATGTAGTCACGCGCTACTCGTCCCCGTCGTCTGCCACTGTAGGCCGTCTAGCGCTGCCGTTCCTCTTTCCCGAGCTGTCGGACTTTACCACTGTAGCCGACCTCCTGACTCACCTGCACTCCCTTGAGACCCGCTACGCTGCCACCCTTGAGCCCACCTTTATGGCTGAGAACAAGCCACCCATGTCAGAATCCCAACCACTAGACCATTGGGATAAAAGGGCTTGTTAAGTAGCGGGTCAGTGCGCCCATAACCCCCCAGGACAACGAGCCTGTAACCCTTCCCTAGGATCAATCGGGGATCACCAGTGGACCTCTGACACCCCCCCGCACTGGGATGCCCGAAGTGCATACACTGGGATTCGAACCCGAGACCTTCGCTCTGATACCATATCAGAATCCCAACCACTAGACCATTGGGATAAAAGGGCTTGTTAAGTAGCGGGTCAGTGCGCCCATAACCCCCCAGGACAACGAGCCTGTAACCCTTCCCTAGGTTCACTCGGGGATCACCAGTGGACCTCTGACAACCCATCTATCTCACCCTTTACTTTCTCACGACCCGCCTCCCTGACTCCCTTCGTGCTGTACGCGACCACTTCCTCGCTCTCAACCCCACGAAGATCACCCTCGACTCGTTTGAGTCCCGCCTCATAGAGGCTGAGTCTGGTGCCCTAGCTGTCGCTGCCTCTCGTGGCACTCCCCTCCCCTCTGTCTTTGAGGGGTGCTCCCGCTCCCTGCTCACGTCGTCTATTGCCTCTGCTGCTATTGACCTCTTCAGTGCTGAGGAGGTCGGTGCTGCTTCTGCTGTCAGATTTATATGACATAGCTACTGTAGGCTAGAGTGGGGTAGCACATATGGGGTACAGTTTTCTAGGGTTTGCTTCTTGTACCCAACTTTCACTTAGTCATTCTCATTCCTGTTTTTCTTGATTCACATGGTATAGAGCGGGTTCCTACATGGGACCGTTCCTTCCTAAGGGCCCACCATAAGATTTTTTTTTTTTTAGCTGCCCGCGCACATTGCGCCCTGCCCTAATTTTTTTTTTTTAGCGGCCCCTACGCTGCCTCTACGCGGCCCCTACGCCGCCTCCCACGCGCCCCCTATGCGGCCCCTGGCGGCGCCCTGACGAGGCCCCTGCCGGCGCCCTATCGCGGCCCCTGACGCGCCCCCCCTGGTGGCGCCCTGACGCGGCCCCTGGCGGCGCCTGACGCGGCCCTGACGCGGCCTGACGCGGCCCCTGGCGGCGCCCTGACGCAGCCCCTGCTGCGGCCCTGACGCGGCCCTGCCGCGGCCCCTGACGCGGCCCTGACGCGGCCTGCCGCGGCCCCTGCCGCGGCCCTGAAGCGGCCCCTGACGCGGCCCTGACGTGGCCCTGACGCGGCCCTGCCGCGGCCCCTGGCGGCGCCCTGACGCGGCCCCTGACGCGGCGCCCTGACGCGGCCCCTGCCGCGGCCCTGACGCGGCCCTGCCGCGACCCCTGCCGCGGCCCTGAAGCGGCCCCTGACGCGGCCCTGAAGCGGCTCTGCCGCGGCCCTGACGCGGCCCTGACGCGGCCCCTGACGCGGCCCCTGCCGCGGCCCCTTACGCGGCCCTGACGCGGTCCTGCCGCGGCCCCTGGCGGCGCCCTGACGCGGCCCCTGACGCGGCGCCCTGACGTGACCCTGCCGCGGCCCCTGACGCGGCCCCTGCCGCGGCCCCTGACGCGGCCCCTGACGCGGCCCCTGTCGCGGCCCCTGACGCGGCCCCGCCTCCTCTCAGCGGCTCTGCCGCCTCCTCTCAGCGGCCCCGCCGCCTCCTCCCAGCGGCCCCGGACGCCGCCCTCTCAGCGGCCCCGCCGAGCCGCCCAGCAGCCGAGCCGCCGAGCCGCCCAGCAGCCGAGCCGCCCAGCAGCAGAGCCGCCGAGCCGCCCAGCAGCCGAGTCGCTGAGCCGCCCAGCAGCCGAGCCGCTGAGCCGCCCAGCAGCCGAGTCGCCGAGCCGCCCTGCAGCCGAGCCGCCCGAGCCGCCCTGTCCGGTAAGAGCAGCGCCTCTCTCACAGCACTGCCCTCACCCCACTGTTTGCACTGCTAGTCTACTACTGTCATGGCTACCCCTAGTGTCCTCGCTTTTGACGCTGAGGGTCGGGCCATTGACTTTGACGTCTGGATAGATGACCTGCAGCTTTTCTTACAGTGCGATAGGGCAGACGGCCTCTCCCTCTTTGACCTCACTTCTGGTGCCTCTCCTGCTCCCGCCACTGATGCTGACGCAACTGTTCGCTCCCAGTGGGCCACGCGCGATGCTGCTGCACGTCTTGCTGTGCGTCGCCACCTGCCTACCTCTGAGCGTGCGCACTTTAGCCAGTACAAGAGTGCTCAGACCTTGTACGACGCTGTAGTTGCACGCTACTCCTCCCCTGCCACTGCTGCACTGAGCCGCCTCATGCTACCGTACCTCTTCCCTGACCTTGCTGCCTTTCCCACAGTCGCTGACCTCATCACGCACCTCCGCACTAGTGACACTCGCTACCGCGCTGCGCTTCCTGCTGAGTTCTGCGCCAAGAACCCCCCCCCCATGTACATCACCCTCTACTACATCGTCACCCGTCTCCCTGACTCCCTTCGCGTAGTCAGGGACCACTTCCTCTCGGTTTGTCCCACCACTCTCACCGTTGACCTCCTCGAGAAGGCCCTCCTAGCAGCAGAAAAGAGCATAGTCGCTGTAGGAGCCTCTCGTGGTGACCCTCGCACCCCCATCTTTGAGGGGTGTTCCCCCTCCCCTCTTTTGCCCTCTGTTGCCTCTGCTGCTGCGGCCGACCTCGCTGGTTTGGAGTCGGTTGGGGCAGCGTCTACCCCTAGCGGGAGACGCCGCCCTGGCAGGGGCAAGGGGGGCAGGGGCGCTGGAGGAGCTAGCGGGGGCGGTGGAGGCGACGGTGGAGGTGGTGGAGGAGGTGGTGGTGGTGGTGGGAGTGGTGGCGGGGGTGGAGGTGTAGGTGGCGGCAGTGGAGGCGCAGGAGGCAGCGGCGGTGGCGGAGGGAGCGGAGGTGGCGGCGGTGGAGGAGGAGGCGGCGGAGGAGGTGGAGCTGGTCGGGGTGGCGCTGCGCAGAGGGTCAGCTCCGGTGGTGGTCAGCGCCAGCAGCAGCAGCAGCAGCAGCGCACTCGTGACGTCCCCTCCCCTCAGCAGCTCCGTGAGTGGTACACTGCACGCCAGAGGGGTGGGGGTGCTGGTCCGTGCACCTACGTCCTGCGCACAGGCGACCGCGCGGGTGAGCAGTGCGGGGGTGCGCACTCCACCCAGCGCTGCTTTGGCCGCCTCACGGACGCTTGGCGTCACCAGTTTCCTGAGGCCACTGAGATCCCCCGCTGGGGTGAGCTGTCTAGGGCGGGTGTCGCTGTCTTTGACCTTGACTTTGATGCTATTCTTGCTGCCGTGTATACTGTGACTATTAGTGATGAGGGTGACTGTTACCGGTGTTTTCCGCCCGACCCGGGCATTGAGACTGCTGCTCTAGGTACTGGTGAGGCTGCTGCTCTAGGTGCTAGCGAGGCTGCTGCTCTAGGTGCGTCTACTCCCTCAGGTGCTGGTGAGTCTGCTCTCTCAGGTTCTGCGTCGGCTTCGGCCTCCCACACCTTCACACTTGACTCGGGGGCTTCTCGCTCCTTCTTTCGAGACCGCACCACACTCACGCCGCTTGGCCGGCCAGTTGCGGTCTCCCTGGCAGACCCCTCTGGGGGTCCTGTCCTTGCTCACTTCTCCACTGTCCTCCCGTGTCCGGCGGCCCCCTCTGGCACCCTGTCTGGTCTCTACCTCCCCTCGTTCTCTACGAACTTGGTGAGTGGTGCTGACCTACAGGATGCGGGGGTTCACCAGTTCACTCCTGCGAGTCAGCGGGTGACCCACTGCACGGACGCTCGGACTGGCCGACACCTGGCCACGTTTACCCGTCGGCCGGGGTCGAGCCTGTACACCCTGACCACTGCGTCTCCTCCAGTCACTGCGTCTGGTCAGGTAGCTGCGTCGGGTCAGGTGTTTGCTGCAGCGTCCAGGTCTGGTCCTGAGTCTGCCCCCTGTTCGTGTCGCCTCCTGTCTCACGAGACTCTCCTCTGGCACCACCGCCTTGGTCACCCCTCCCTGCTTCGTCTCCGAGGCATGGCCTCCCGTGTCCTTGTCTCTGGTCTTCCCCGGTCCCTCCCTCCCCTTCCTCCGGGGCCAGGCCCTACCTGCGTCCCCTGTGTCGAGGGACGGCAGCGGGCTACCCCTCACTCCTCCCAGTTTCCTCCGACAGAGGCCCCGCTGCAGACGCTTCACATGGACGTGTGGGGCCCGGCCCGCGTCCGTGGACAGGGTCACGAGCGCTACTTCCTGCTGGTGGTTGACGACTACTCGCGTTACACCACAGTCTTCCCCTTGCGCAGCAAGGGTGATGTCACTGAGGTGTTGATCGACTGGATCCGCGCAGCTCGTCTCCAGCTCAGGCGGAGCTTTGGCTCGGACTTTCCTGTTCTGCGTCTGCACTCTGACAGAGGCGGAGAGTTCTCCTCTGGCCTTCTGCGAGCCTACTGTCGTGCACGAGGCATCCGCCAGACCTTCACGCTTCCGGACTCTCCACAGCAAAATGGGATTGCTGAGCGCCGCATTGGCATGGTCATGGACGTCGCCCGTACGTCCATGATGCATGCGGCTGCCCCCCATTTTCTGTGGCCGTTTGCGGTTCGGTACGCGGCGCATCAGATCAACCTTCAGCCCAGGGTCTCCATGCCGGAGACCTCCCCAGCTTTGCTGTGGACGGGGAAGGTTGGCGATGCGTCTGCGTTCCGTGTCTGGGGATCTCGGGCGTTTGTCCGCGACTTGTCTGCGGACAAGCTGTCCCCTCGTGCTGCTCCTTGCGTCTTCCTGGGTTTCCCCCCTGACGCCCCAGGGTGGCAGTTCTACCACCCCACCTCTCGCCGTGTTCTGTCCTCCCAGGACGTCACGTTCGACGAGTCGGTCCCCTACTACCGCCTCTTCCCCTACCGCACTCCGTCCCTCCCCCCGCCACCGCTCTTCCTTGTACCAGGTCCCCCCCCGGTAGACCCCCTCCCCCCTCAGGGTCCTGCCCCTTCAGGTGTGTCCCAGGTAGACGCTGTTGAGCCTGTCGAGGTCGCTGGTGACTCTGGTGCTGCTGAGGGTGCTGAGCCTGGGGGTGCTGACTCTAGGGGTGCTGAGCGTGTGGGTGCTACGCCTGGGGGTGCTGAGCCTGGGGGTGCTGAGCCTGGGGGTGCTGAGTCTGGGGGTACTCCGACTGGGGGTGCTGAGCCTGGGGGTACTACGCCTGGAGGTGCTGAGCCTGGGGGTGCTGCGTCTGGGGGTGCTGAGCTTGGGGGTACTACGCCTGGAGGTGCTGAGCCTGGGGGTGCTACGCCTGGTGGTGCTGTGCCTGGCGGTTCACCGGGTGCTCCCTCTCGCCGAGAGCCACTCTCTCCCCAGGAGCTGCGTGAGTGGTTTGCCCGGCGCTGGAGGCGAGCTGCTGGAGCTGCTGGAGCTGGAGGTGCTGCGGGTACTGGAGGTTCTGTTGCTTCTGAGGGAGCTGGTGCCACGGGTCCCGGAGGTGCTCGTACTGGGAGTTCTGGAGCTGCTGGACCTGCGGGTACTTCTGGAGCTGGAGTTGCTGCGGGTGTTGGCGCGGAGGCTACTGCTGTCGGTCCTGGAGGCAGTCCTGCTGGGGGTACTACTGGTGCTGCTGGGGGTTCTGGAGCTGGAGCTGCTACTGGTGCTGGTGCTGCCCCTGCGGGTGCTGGTGCTGTCCCTCCTGTGTCTGGAGTCGCCGCGCGGCCTCGGCCGTACTTCGTTCCGCTCCTTCAGCAGGTTCTTGGTCTCCCGCCTTCTACTGGTCCTCCTCCTCCCTTAGAGTGTCCACAGCCTGTCCCGTCGCAGTTACAGTTACAGCCGGCCTCCCCACTGCCTGCTCCGTCTCCCTACACTGGTCCTACTGGAGGTCTTGCTGAGCGTCGTGAGCCTGCGTCTCGCCCTGCGTCGCCTGTCCGTGCTGCTCGCACTAGTGGTCGCGGTTCGCGTCAGCGTCCTCCTCCTGTCCCTGGCACGCACCGGATGTCTCTGCGTCCGTCCACTGCTCCTCTGCGTGCCCCTTTGCCTTCTCCTCCTGAGTCTTCTCTTCCTACTCTTGCCGACCCGGAGTCGGACTCTCTTCGCGCTGCCAGTCCTACTGTCACGCGTCTCCTTGCTACGGTTGTCACTTACCCTTCCTTTGAGTCCACTGCTGCGTCTGCTCTAGTTGCTGAGCTCGTCGACTTTGCTGCTCGCTGTCGCCTAGACTACGTCGCCAGTCTTGTTGCTGAGTCTGAGTCTGTCTGTCCTCCGTCCGTCGGGGATGAGTGTGCCCTTGGCACGGACGTCCTTGAGGACAGGCAGGAGGAGTTCCAGTGCTTGGCCGCTGCTTCACCTCATCTCGTGTCCGTACTGCTTACCCCTGAGGGAGACCCGGATGCACTTGACATCCCGACTCCGCGCTCTTACGCGGAGGCGATAGAGGGTCCCTACTCCTCTCAGTGGCAGGCAGCTATGGACGCAGAGATGGCTTCCTGGAAGTCCACAGGCACCTACGTTGACGCTGTTCCCCCTCCTGGGGCGAACATCGTCAGTGGCATGTGGATTTTCAGGGTGAAGCGGCCGCCGGGTTCTCCGCCTGTCTTCAAGGCGCGTTACGTGGCTCGTGGCTTCAGTCAGCGGCAGGGAGTTGACTACTTTCAGACCTTCTCTCCCACCCCGAAGATGACCACTCTTCGGGTACTGCTGCACGTAGCTGCTCACCGTGACTACGAGCTACACTCTCTTGACTTCAGCACTGCTTTCTTGCAGGGCAGCCTGCACGAGGAGATCTGGCTACGTCGCCCACCTGGCTTCACTGGGTCTTTTCCTCCTGGCACCCAGTGGAGCCTACGGCGGCCAGTCTACGGTCTCCGCCAGGCACCGCGTGAGTGGCACGACACACTGAGGACTACACTTGCGGCTCTTGGGTTTGCTCCCTCTACTGCCGACCCGTCGCTGTTTCTGCGCACCGACACTTCTTTGCCGCCGTTCTACATCCTCGTGTACGTCGACGACTTGGTCTTTGCCACAGCTAACACTGCTGGACTAGCCCACGTGAAGTCCGAGCTGCAGAAGAGACACACGTGCACTGACCTGGGTGAACTGCGCAGCTACCTTGGCTTGCAGATCACTCGGGACAGAGCACGCCGCACCATTACCCTGACTCAGTCACACATGGTGCAGCAGGTCCTTCAGCGCTTCGGCTTCACGTACTCCTCGCCTCAGGCCACTCCTCTGCCTACTCGCCACTCGCTCTCAGCTCTGCCTTCGGATGAGTCCGTAGAGTCGAGTGGCCCGTACCCAGAGCTTGTTGGCTGCCTCATGTACCTGATGACCTGCACACGACCTGACCTTGCATACCCTCTTAGCATTCTTGCACGCTATGTTGCTCCTGGGAGACACAGACCGGAGCACATGGCTGCAGCGAAGAGGGTGTTGCGCTACTTGTGCAGTACGTCGGGCATGGGGCTTGTGCTTGGAGGGCAGAGTCCAGTGGTCCTTACTGGGCACGCAGACGCTTCTTGGGCTGACGACCAGGCTACGCAGCGGTCGTCGCAGGGTTACACCTTCAGCCTTGGTTCCGGCTCTGTTTCGTGGCGGGCTACTCGCTCGTCTTCTGTTCTCGGCTCCAGTTGTGAGGCTGAGATCTACGCAGGAGCCATGGCTGCACAGGAGCTTCGCTGGCTCACCTACCTGCTGACTGACCTCGGAGAGTTGCCTCGTTCTCCTCCAGTGCTGTACGTAGACAACAAGGCCATGCTGGCCTTGTGTCGGGAGCAGCGACTGGAGCACAGAACGAAGCACATTGCTCTCCGCTACTTTCTTGCTCGTGAGCTGCAGCAGCGTGGTCAGCTGCGTCTTGCGTACGTGGCCTCTGAGGCCAACACTGCTGATATCTTCACCAAGGCACTTGCGCCTTGTGACCATCAGCGCTTCTGTACTCAGCTGGGCCTTGTGCCTACCTTGCCTCACTTGCTCACCTCTTGATCTTGCTTGTACTGTTACATATGTATATACCTGCTCTTGTTTGTCTAGCCTTTTTTTATATATATGTGTACTCCTGCTTGTGAACTGGCCTTGTGGCCTTGAACTTGTGCTCGGAATGTGTGGTGACTTTGTGATCCACCCTGAGCTTGTTTTTGCTTTGCTTTGCTTGACTGGTCTTGTGACCCCTTGTTCTCCCCCACTTTGCCTATGGGGGTGTGTCAGATTTATATGACATAGCTACTGTAGGCTAGAGTGGGGTAGCACATATGGGGTACAGTTTTCTAGGGTTTGCTTCTTGTACCCAACTTTCACTTAGTCATTCTCATTCCTGTTTTTCTTGATTCACATCTGCTCCTAGTGGGAAGCGCCAATGCGGCAAGGGCAAGGGTGGCAAGGGTGGGGGTGGCGGGGGTGGTGGGGGAAGCGGTGGTGGTGGTGGAGGTGGTGGGGGAGGAGGAGGTGGAGGCGGCAAGGGAGGAGGAGGGGGTGGTGGGAGCAGTGGCGGTGGTGGCGGGGGTGGGGGTGGCACTAGGGGTGGAGCTGGAGGAGGAGGGGCTGGAGGTCCGGCCACTCGTTCAGCTGCGTCTGGTGGTGCAGCGGGGGGTGGAGGTGGCTCTGGGGGTGGCGAGCAGCAGCAGCCGAGCCGCCAGGCGCAGCTCTCACCGCAGCAGCTTCGTGAGTGGGCGATCCGCCGTGGCAGCTCCGGTGGCCCACCTCGCTGCGGGTACGTCCGTCCCACAGGTCAGCCTGGAGCGACCTGCACTCGCACCGACCACACCGAGTCTCGTTGCTTCTTTCGCCTCGACAATCTGTATAGTGCAGAGCATGGTGAGCACATGAAGACTCCTGACTGGCTCGCTTTGCTGAAGCAGGACATAGATGTTTTTGCTTGTGCCTGGGTTGTGATCCATGCTGGCATGTATGCGATGTATGCTGCTTCTGCTAGTGTTGAGGAGGACTGTTACTCGTGTGTGCCTAGAGTTTCTAGGGTAGAGGCTGCTAGCCTTGGTGCTTTTGACTCAGCTAGTAGAGGTGCAGAGCCTGAGGAGGCCTTGCACACTTTTACTCTCGACTAAGGAGCGTCTCGTTGCTTCTTCCGCGACAGCACCACAGTCACACCACTCACAGTCCCTATCCCGGTCACACTGGCCGACCCCTCTGGGGGCCCGGTAGTCGCGCGTGGCGCCACTGTTATGCCTTGTCCGGCGGCCCCTTCCAGCCTCCTCACAGGTCTCCACCTCCCCTCGTTCGCTAAGAACTTGGTGGCTACCTCTGTCCTCCAGGACCACTGGGTCACTGTCACCCAGCCTGGAGGCGAGCTAGTGGCGATCTGTACGGACTCGCGCACTGGTGAGCACCTCGCCACGTTCACTCGGAGGCCTGGGTCTGGCCTGTACACACGGACCACTGAGTCTGCACTGGTAGCTGAGTCAGGTCAGGTAGCTGCGTCGGTTGAGGTCGCTGCGCCTTGTTCGTGTCGTCTCCTCACGTACCAGACTCTCCTCTAGCACCACCGTCTTGGCCACCCCTCCTTGCCACGCATGCGTGGCATGCACTCCCGTCTTCTTGTGTCTGGTCTCCCCAGGTCCCTGCCCCCGCTTCCGAGGTCGTTTTCACCGCCCTGCCTTCCCTGCGTCGAGGGGCGGCAGCGCGCCGCTCCTCACTCCTCCTCGTTTCCTCCTACCACTGCTCCTCTGCAGACATTGCACATGGACGTGTGGGGCCCCGCCCGCGTCACTGGACAGGGTGGCGAGCGCTACTTTCTGCTGGTTGTCGACGAATACACGCGCTACACCACGGTCTTCCCCTTGCAGAGCAAGACGAATGTCCGCGGTGTCTTGATCCGCTGGATCCGCGCTGTCCGTCTCCAGCTTTGCGCTCGGTTCCGTGAGGACCTCCTAGTCCTGCGGCTGCACTCTGACCGAGGTGGTGATTTTTGCTCCCACCTCCTCGAGGACTTAAGTGGTGCCGAGGGCATCGTCCAGTCGTACATGCTTCCGGCCTCTCCACAGCAGAATGGGATTGCTGAGCGCCGCATTGGTCTAGTCATGGAGGTTGCTCGCACCTCCATGATCCATGCGGCTTCTCCCCATTTTCTGTGGCCGTTTGCGGTCCGATATGCTGCTGAGCAGCTCAACCTTTGGCCCCTGTGTCTCCCACTCGGAGACCTCACCCACTTTGCGGTGGACGGGCGAGGTTGGTGATGCGTCGGCGTTTCGGGTCTGGGGTTCTCTCTCTCTTGTCCGCGATTTGCCTACGGGCAAGCTCTCTCCACGCACTTTTCGGTGCGTGTTCCTTGGCTTTCCCACCGACGCACGGCCCTGGCAGTTTTACCACCCGAGCTCTCGTCGTGTGCTGTCCTCCCGCGACGTCACCTTTGACGAGTCCGTCTGCTTCTACTGTCTTCACCCCCACCGTAGTTCCCCGGTACCCCTCCCGCCTCTACTGGCGCTGGACGTGCTAGAGCTGCAGGTTCTGGAGGTGCTAGCCCTGGAGGTGCTAGTACTGGTGTTCCTGGAGTTGGCCGTGCTGGAGGTACTGGTGCTAGAGGCACAGGTCCTACTGGAGGTACTGGAGGTGCTGCTGCTGAGGGCGCTGCTGCGGGTAGTCCTGGCTCACGTCGCCAGGAGTCTCTCTTGCCGGAGCAGCTTCGCGAGTGGGCTGTCTGTTGGGACAGTCCTGGTGGTGGCGCTGGACGTGCTAGAGCTGCACCATCTGGAGGTGCTGGCCTTGGAGGTGCTAGTGCTGGTGTTCCTGGAGTTGGCCGTGCTGGAGGTATTGGTGCTGGAGGCACAGGTCCTACTGGAGGTACTGGAGGTGCTGCTGCTGTGGACCCTGCTGCAGGTAGTCCCAGCTCACGTCGCCAGAAGTCTCTCTCGCCGGAGCAGCTGCGCGAGTGGGCTGTCCATTGGGACAGTCCTGGTGGTGGCGCTGGACGTGCTGGAGCTGCAGGTTCTGGAGATACTGGCCCTGGAGGTGCTGGTGCTGGTGTTCCTGGAGTTGGCCGTGCTGCAGGTTCTGGTACTGGAGGCACAGGTGCTGCTGGAGGTACTGGAGGAGCTGGCCCTCT